TTGGATTTTCTACAAATCGGAGAGAGTTAAGGAGGGCGATGAAAAAGTATTCTCGTTTTTAAGCTAATTTTTTTAAGACAGTGTCGAAAATTTTGATAACTAGATTGTTTCTTCTGGAAATAAAATATTTCGAAATTTATGATTTTTTTACTATTGTTTTCATAAAATAAAAATTTAAAATTGTACGGAGAAAAAAAATCTGTGAAAATTACCAAACGTGAGTGGTTGTAACATTTATTTTTAGAAATTAAAAATTCTTGTAATAAAACCAAAATATACGCTAGTTTGCAATATATTTGGAGATTTCTAGTTTTTTGAATTATAAATATTATTGCCGCACATATAGAAAAATTTTTTTTTTCTTTGTCTTGCTAGTTGATGGGATGGTAGAAGAAAAAGAGAGTTTATCGTTTTCATCATTTAATGAGAAAGACTTCTCGTTTGGAATCGCATATTCCTCATCGTTAATTGCGAAGTCACCACTTTCGTCACCCGTTTCAATTTCTGGTTCACTAAGTGTAAGTTTACGGTACTTTTTATTCCAAGACACGTTTATTCAATAAAAAAAATAATAAATGCATAAGTTCATATCACTGAAATCCGTCTGTTATTTGGGAGGATTTTGAGGAATTAAAATCACGTGTTCTATGATGACGTCACTGAAGCATTTGGCCAATTATAGCATTAAGTTTTCACTCCCTTTCTAATTAGTTACTATCACTGCTCTGCCCTTCTCATAACTTCTCAACAGCTCCATTCAGCGAAAGAAAAGCAACAGGGTGAATGATATATCTCCAAATCAAAGCTATGAATGACTCATATTGTATGAATGCCTTATCAAATCCCAAAATTATTCATTTGTAGCACTGATGTCATGATTTAGAGAATTTGCATACAACAAAAAACGATAAAGAGTAGATGAAAGAAATATTTATCTTTCATTATTAAGAAACACTACATACTTTTAGCAACTGGGTCAGAATGACCCAACCCGGCGGTTTTAGATATAGGAGTCAAAAACTAAATATTCATTTTAGTAAGGCTCGTTATATATCTACAGTTTGTGATAGACACAAAATTTGTAAAAGTTATAAGCTTTCGTCCAGTTTCGCCTGTAACTTTATGAGAGAAGCGATTAAATAAAAACGATTTTTGGTTAAAATAGCTCATTTCACGGTTCTAGTGCGAAGGAGGCCCCTGTAAAATGAAATGATTATAGAAATAAATATTACTATTCTAAGTATTTATTTATTGTTGTCATGCGCACATATTACGTGTGTTCGTGTGCAATTTTGCGTATATAGGTAAAGTTTATTATAAATCCTGGTCAAATTGCCGAACAGTTAACGCAGGTTAAAAACAGATGTTACAAAGATATAATTATTTGTAGCTTGGAGGCTACAGTAGATGCATCCTTGTAATATCTCTCTTTATATAATAGATACATCTTAGTTCGTATCCCACCTTATCCTTGGAAATGTGTAATGTTTACTCTGTCTTATGTCTTATGTCTATAAGCCGAATTTTGCAAAGAGTACAACATACATTTGCTGGCTTGGCTGTTCAGTTAAAGCTTATAAGCCTTTGTAAAGTAAAGTGATAGATAGCATAATACAGAGAAGGACATCTTAAAGAATGCGGCCAGGTTTACAGTGGGATTCAAACCCACCACCTCTGCTCGGAACAGAGCGCTATGTGGGTGATACCGCTCTGCCAGAGAGACCCCTATGAGCACACAAGCTTGTATGATATGTAAATGTACCAATAAATATAATCAAATAGATACTTCCAGGGTTGGGGTGCGATGCAAATCCGAGACTTACACGGTTCCACTTTAAGAGAACGGGATAGCCCTGATGTGTTGACAATTAAGCTACTGATTTAGTTTAGCCTAGCCCAGGCATTTTCACAAGTACTAAAACATATATATATTTTTTTATAGAATCTGATGGTTATTAAACGTTAGTTTATAGTTTCTATAAGAATAAAACACCTAACCAGTGAAAAATAGAGTTGTCAATTGTTTTTAAATGGAACATCTTGAATTATGCCTGCAGTGTTAAAATTACTAACTTTTTGGTAAAATTTGCAATATTTATTGCATTTGCCACTAAACAGCCAGGAAGTATAAGTAAAATGACGCCATATTTTATTGTTGATTTTGACAAAGTTTGATTTTTAATGCTCTCATAGAGTCAGAAACATGGTAAATTTTACCATATTCTGATATTTTTGATCGTACTTTTTTTCTTCTGATGTTTTTTATCGTACTTTTTTTGAATACTTTAAAAAGTAGGCACAAAATACTTAGTGGGGTTAAAAATAATGTTAATAAATTCTAAGTATGCAAATTATCATATTTTTGATATTTAGGGTAAATTTCATTTTAATGTTAAAGTTTTCTATCAAATTGGATTTATTCACTCTGATTGCGAAAAAGAACAATTGAAGCTAATTGGAATTTAAATGGGAAAACATTAAACAAAACAAATCTTATTTAGCCAAGCACACTTGCAAAAAGACTTTCCTTTCATTTACGTCTGATGTATTTTTACGCCTCAACTTAAAAATAAACCATCACGTATCTTTAATGTACTTACGTATCTTTATTCACGTATCTTCACGTATCTCACGTATATTCGCGTATCTTTAATCCCACTGTTTGCAATATTATTTATGATAATAACCATTCAATTTGTAAATCCATTTAACTTCCGCCTGAAGGCATAAAAATTGAAAACATTACTCAAAACAACGTTGTACTTCATTAAAGAAGCGATATTAATTTCCTAGAATGAATTTATGAAATACAGAAAAAGAAACGCAGTTCAAAACTACAAACTAGCCTGCATCCATAGTGAAAACTCTAGTAACTGAAATATATCGTTATGGCAAGATGTTTATAAAAACTCAATCAAAGAAATTCGCTCATAAATTTATAATGCGTAGATAGAAAATTTCCAACGAAGAGTTTGCAAATGTATATTGAACAAGCAAATAAAAAAATAATTAAAACCTATATTAAGATCTCACTCTGAATAACTTTTTTTTCTATTGATCGAATTTCAAAAATGTCTAGATCATTTTTAAATAAAACAATAGAAAATAATAATCAGTGGTTCAAAATTACGAATATTATAATTATTCGCAAATAATTTCGAATCATTCATAAATTTTTAAAATAATACACAATACTTAAATTTAGAATTAACTTAAAAAACGCACTTAATTAAACTATTCAAGTTCTTAATTTAACTATTACAGTCCTATTTTTCATATTGCGACTATTGCCATGTTTTGATGGGGCAAACCCATACCAAAAAGTTAAAAAAAAAAGGAAAAAAAGTATGCTTATTCAGAAAAAATAAGTTCTTGTGTCTGATTTCATAACTTAATTACAAATTAGCAATAATTAATTACCATATTTAAGGTTGTCTATTAAAACCGATATAAGTAGAATGCAATTCGTGAGTATTGCATCCCTCAGAAGAGCAGCGAGGTTGTATTTACATTATTTTTAAAGTGAAAATAAATGTTTAGTTAAAATATTTTATTTTGAATGCAATTATGGTCTAGATATCCAGTATGCCTCAATGTTGTAAAAATCAGACGTGATATATCTGTTAAACTATATTTCTATTAGAACAAGCTATACGGTCTACTTAATTTTTAAATTTTTGCTTACTACAACGGGTTTCAAATGTTACTTATTTGCAACTTGCTTCAGAATTTAATAACATTATAATGTATCACCTGTTCAAAGCACGTAACTAATATATTACATGTATTTCACAAATAGTTAACAAAAATCATTTTTTAGCTTATAGAGATATATTCATATTGTTCTGGAATCAGAGTCTACATATAGGAACATACTAAGGATAATGCTTAATTTTCTTGTTAAAATCAAATGAAAAAAATATACATAACAAAATATTCTATAAAATTGTTTTTACTTTAAATCAAATTAAAGTATGAGAGACAGGTAGTTATGATTAATTATTTATTTCTTAAATTCCATTTTAAATTTAATATATAATATTTTTTATAATTTCATTAACTATATAATTGAATATATTCAAAAAAAATTATTTTATTATCCAATATGCTTCAGATCTATACTCTTCAGATCGTAATTTGTTTACCTGCTTATAACTTTGACTAACACATAATTAGTATTTAACAAAGTAAAAGAAAAAACTCAGTTTTTCGTTTATAAATATATATTCAGGTAATTTTCTATATACAAAGTCTTATGATTAAAGACAGTTTAAATATAGCCTATCACGCTAGCTATACAGAGAAAAGAATTCTACTTAAATTACCCTACTTGTATGGTGAAAACATTTCCGGAATTAAAAAAAGCACAATTTAGGTAATAAAACCAAATTACACGGTATTTGAACCATTCATATACAGTTGAACCTGTTTATCCCGAACCAATTTATCTCGAAAACCTCTGTATCGCGAAATTTCTATAATTCCCTTCATTTACTATCTAAAATCAAAGTATTTTTTATGTTTATGTCGAAATTTTTTTTCAAAGAATCCGTTTCATGAATTTCTAGTAATAGAGCACAAATGTCTGATCAACATAACTTTCCTTATCAGTAGAACTTGTAGACCGAAAGGAATTTCGTGAACCGATAGGAAGTAGAGATCGACAGGTAGGGGGTGTTTCTTGGAATTTCGATCACTGTGCCTGCACTTCCTTAGTTTGTAAAGAATACAATGACTCTAACAGTCAGTGAGGGGCTGATGAATAGGATAGAGTGACCACCAGAGGTTAGCTTTTCAACAAAGATAAGAAAGCTGGGAATGGTCTGTCTAGAGGATACTGTCTCTTTCAATTCCGAAAGAGATTTGGATTCTTACCGACAGTAGAAGCGCTGTTCAGCACTTGACTAGCTGGCACAGAGTGAGGAATAATACTGGCATGAACATCCTTTATAAACTCTTACACCTCTCCAAATATTGTCGAATTCACGTACAATGGATACCCTCACAGGTAGATATTACAGGTAATGAAATGGCAGATAGTCTTGCCAAGGCAGGAGCAGCTAAGGGCACTGTGCCTCCAGTGTCTCTTACCTCCTCAGAGCTCTTTTCCATTGCAAAAGCCAAAAATAAATCAGCATGGCTCACTCCACCCAGTCACAATTGATACCAGGGTACCAGACCAGGTTGCTGTTTAACAGCTGACAAAGACCGTCAGTGTCAAACCGCCATCACACGTCTCCGCTGTGAACTCCTGAAATTACTGAGGTACTCAGGAGGAGAAAAGTGTTTTGCTCTCTGTACCAAGTGCTCTTCTATAGCAAGACCTTTACTTGTTTTAGACTTTTGAAGGTGAACAAACTCATGGACCTTGTCTAGCTAGGCTAGAAATGGGAATTTGAAGGAAGAAGAAAGAAGAGGGAATGGAAATTCGTTTTTACCTCAAAATTGCCACCAATGGATCGAAGAATAATTAGGAGTTTTAAAGTGAACTATAGAAAACAAAGCACGCAAACTTGTAGACGCCATCCATGAAAAAAGCTCTCTTCTAAAACTAAATGTGTTCAACGCTATCAGAACGACTGTTCTGCTTGGAGAAATGTGTCTGTAAAAATTATGCAAAATGGTTTTAAAATAGCAGGTTTTACGAATAGTTTGGAAAATGATGAAAAGGAGGTTAAAAGCATCAGTAAAGAAGAAGAAACTGTTGATGCTGAAAAATACAGTACCAGATTTGCAAGAATGGAATGCAATAAAATCGGGATTTAATGTTGAATTTAAGCTTAAAGATTTTTACAAGTGAACAATTGCCAAGCAACATACGAAACATTGACAGATGCGGAAATCATAAATAATGTCAAAGGAGTATCAGATGAAGAAGTTGAAAATCAGATAGATGAAGCAAAAGTTAGAGCAGAAACAGCTGTATAACTCTTACACACTCCTTTTGAATCCTAATAAAATATTGGCTATTTGCAATTTACTTCTATTTCTAAACTTAAAAGAATTATCCAAACAAAGAAGGTTAGAGGTCAAAATTCTTAAAAAATTATTTTTAGTGTTAAATGCTTGTTAAAAATTTGGTGTGTGGTATAATTAATGTACAGAAATGCCTGTAATTTTCTACTAAGAACAATTAAGACATTTTTAATAGATTTCTTAATTAAATTTAATTTTTAAAGTACATGCATCACTCGAAACCTCTTTATCTCAAATTTTTCGTCTTTCCCTTGAGATTCGAGATAAACAAGTCCCACTTTAGTAATTTTTTCTTTTGCATGATAATGGTGTGCCGGAAATTCTGATTTTCAAAATTATAGTTCTTGTAACGGCATGCAGTAAAAATACGAACATGTAAAGTAAATTTTATACTAATCAATGGTTTTAATGCCATGCTCTAATGTATCATAATAAAATTACCTAATTTTACCACATTTTTTTAAGCTGTATGGCAATAAAACAATATTATATTCTTAATTTTGTGAGAGAAAGTCAAGGGTTAAAAAATATATATATGTTTATTGATGTAATAGAAAATGATATTCTTTTCATTAAATGTGAAATATTTTTATCCTACAGTCATTTTATTTAACGCATAAAACAAGTCAATATTTAAAAAGTCTATTTTTTAATACAAAAAGTTCAACTTAAAATGATAAGAAAGCAAAAAAATAAATTATTGTAAAACTGTTAAATAAATTATTGTTATTCTGCTCCCAGGCAACTATTCATAAAAATGTAGACAAATATTTATATTTATAGGATAAATATAAATTTAAATCCATACAAAAAAGTATTTTATTATAAGTAAACGTATTATGTTGACTAATCTTTTATCTACTATCTAAAATATTAGTTGAAAACAATGAAAAATTATTTTCTTAGTAATTAATTATTAAATAATTATTAATTAAATTTATTTTTATAGGTTTTTTTTATCTTCTAATTGAATCAAATTAAAAATAATTAGATTTATAGGAAGTGCAACTTAAAATGAAAAAAATGCGAGAACATGTGTATAATTGTTAAAACATAGCTCTATTTACGGGAAACTATTAAAAAAAATTAAATTTATATTAATAGTTAAATATTTATATTAATAGGATCTAAATATTTTTAATCCTTACAAATATAAAAATATTTTATTAATCTTATCAATAAACATATTATGCTGGCTGATGTTTAGTCTGCTAGTTGCAAACAAACGAGAAATTATTATCACAATAATTAATAAATAAAAAATTATTTATCAAAATTATTTTTATAGGCTATTTTTATCTACTAATTGAACCAAATGAAAAATAATTATATTAAAAAAAAGACGATTTTTGCTTTATGTAAGAGATGAAAGCTAAAATTATAAGAAATATATATAAATNTATATATATATATATAGTAAAAAATTCCCCTGTTTCCTAAAAAATCATACCTAAATATATTGCTAAATTTTTGTATTGTAATAGGATTTAAATATTTTTCATCCTTGCAAAAATAAAAGCATTTCACAATTCTTAGAAGAAAGCGTGCAAAAAAAGATAAATAAAATATGTTAAAATGAGAGAGAAAAAAATCGTCTTCTGCATACGTTTTACAAAGACATTTTTCAACTCGAAGTCCAAAAGATAAAAATCTTGCAAGAAAGCTTAAAAACAAAAATGCTACTCTGACTAATGAGGAATGAAGTCACGTGAAGAAAAATTTATGAAGAAAAAAAAATTTGGGCCCATTCATTTCCATTTGATTGCCACCCTGAGAGAATAGAAGGTCAAAAACAATGAGAGTGGAAAGTTATTGATGGGATGAAAGAGCAGTATGTGCAAAACATGGCAAACCAACAATAGCTTCAATGACTTTACTTTGAATCATTATCGAGGCAGCAACGACAACACATGACTGAAAAGATTTTTTCTTAGTTTTACTTTTTTCTAGAAGAAGGCCATTGTTCATTATTTAATAAAAAAAGATCAAAAAAGGTAGTTAAGCATAAAATACCAAGCACTTTAATTAATCGCACTAGAAAAAAATTTGAGTGTGGAACATACCCTTTAATTAAATGTTAGAATGGAAATGTTTTTCTTAAAGAAGCACTAAGTGAAAATGTGTAGATATATTGTTTGTTGAATGGATTATTTCCAAAGACAAATGCTTTTTTAGTGCATTTAGAAATAAATTATCCTTAAAGAACAAAAATTAAGAAAATTTCAGTTTCAATAAATTAAAAATAAATGCACTTCTTTCGAAGCAGCTTAGAATTTTATTAATTTGAATCTGATATCGCTTCGCTTTTATTCTTCATTAGTAGTTAATCAAATTGTTCGATTATTTTTTGAGATTGAGTTATATCTGAGAAATTTTTATTTGAAATAGCGTGTTAGGTATTTATAACGTTTCATAGCTTTTTTCGCAGAGGTCTCTCTTGTATTGAAAATTTGGTTTTCTGTTTTGAATTTCAAGTAAAATTTCCTAATAGAATCGCATTGTATGGCATTAAAAAGACTAGGGAAGGTGTCACAAAACTTTTAATAGACTTAGTCAAAATAAAAGTTGTTGAGAACAATTTAAAAATGAAATAAATTACTCAAATGGTAATAAATTAAAATGGAATATATATATATAGTATATATGTATATGTATATATACATATATACATAACAGCTATGGTTGGATGTGACGGTAGGCATGCAAAAATCAATCAGGTAGGTAAAAAGATGCTCGTTATTGAAAGAAAAAAACATCTCGACAAGAAAAAAATTTCGTATCGTATTACGATTCGTGCCTTGATTCGTGTTTCGTCTGGTATAAGTACGTATCATTGATTACGTATACATAACTCTTTACTACACTGTTAGAAATTTCTTAGAAAAAATGTTTAAATAACAATTTATTGAATGGTTATTTTACCATATTTAGTAAAAACAGTCAAATAACCATTAATAAACTGGTAATCAAACTGTTAAGTGTGAAAAAAACTGTTCATTAACTGCTTTCACCTAATACTGTTAAACAACCAGAATTTTATCGCACCTACCAGAGCCACTTAGTTGAGCTACGTAGTTTTTTGCAAGTGCCATATCATGACCGAGCAGGCTTATCTGTCAATATCATGACCGGACGAACTGGAGATCGAGTCTTAGTGTTGGCACCGCAATGTTTCCTCCATTTCCTTGAGCACAAGAAAAATTTCCAGTATCCGACACTCTCCAATGCCCATTACCTTACAGAAAGCCGAGTTCCTATGTCTAGTTAAATAATATATATATTTTTTTGAAAAATGCTGGGAGTAAATTCTTTTCTAAAAGAGTATAGTTTTGTATTCATGGTTTCATTTGGACAAATTCTGATGTTTTTCATCATCACAATATGTTTACCTTTTTTCATTGTTTTTTCTTCCTGATGCCTCGCCTATTATGTTTGAACACTCAAACTCCTAAATTCTATTTTCTTAGTTACTACTATTGTTAATTTTAAGATTTCACTAAATTCTTTGAGGCCTTCTGGTGTTGCCATGAATCGCCACTAAGCCTACCTTTTTGAATCCTCCCTTTTTTTTTACTGCGAGGTCACGTGCGTGCACTTAGAGTCTACATTATTCTCCGGATGCCCCCTGATTCATGGTTTTATAGCCATACTTTTTGTAAATGGTTTCAAAACCATAAAAGAAAAAAAATGTTCTTTACTGTAAACTTTTCTTTTAATCGGATGGATATGTAGCTGCCAGTTATTTTACCCTAATTTTAGAATGAAAATTTTAACAGTGTATGTATACTATCGGAACAGGCGGGATTGCGCAAACTCTTTGCTTTTCATCAGTACTGAAGGGATAACAAAAATGAACTACAGCTATAGTTTTTTCTTATTTTACTTTTCTAAGTCACATAAAGTTCCATCTGTTTGAAAAGATTTGAACTGAAACTATAATTGAATTTTCGTTTTACATGAATTTTCTTGAAAGAATTTTTTTAACTTTAACTCGTCCCTTGATATAAATTTTTGTAAACCGTCATTCTAATTTGGGATTACTAGTATATTATTAATAAAAATAAAAAATTATTAAAATTTTGAATATGTTTATTTTTTCCATTTCAATAAATATTTTTGCTATAGGTTTACATATT